AAAGAATGCAGGGTTTGTCTTCTGGTGGTGGTGGTGCTGGTAATGGTACTGTTGGTGGTGGAGGTGGATTGACTGGTGGCACTGATGCTGCTACTGATCATTTGTTTGCGAGTTCTCCGGTGCCAGCCCATTTTTTGCATCCAGGGAGGTCTAATTCGGATCACTTCTTGCCGTTTGTGCCTGTAGCTGCATTGCAGCACCACCATCACCAGCAACAGATGGTGGCTGCAGCAGCTGCAGTGGCACATCCCCAATTGCAGGGTCAGTATCATAGGCCGATGGGGCACTTTGGGTCGCCAACAAATGGTCAGTTTGAGCATCCGTTTTTGGCTAGGCAAACGCAGCAGCCTGTGCATAGAATGGGGGCACCAGTGCACAATGCTGTTCCTGGATATGTGGAGGATTTGGAGTCAGCGAATGGGAATGAAGGAAGGAAAGTTCTCACTTTATTTCCAACAGGGGATGATTGAATTTGGGTAATTGTTGACTCCATTGATCTTTCTCTTTTATGGCTGATTTGGTTCCTGGGTCTTTGTTAAATTGGTATTTTTCTGGTAGTTTTGTTAGAGTTCAATTTAGAAACTTTGTTGTCATTACTGCATTAGCTGCCGCTGCTGCTGTCGTTGTTAGCGATCTCAATGGTAGATATTGGTCTCGGGCTTCCATCTACACATCCCAAAAATTCCTTCTTAATTCATTGTAATATCGGTGTCTCTTGGGGGTAACTGGTAGTGATGGATTGCGTCATTTATTGTGTCTTCAATTCTACGGGCTTCTACATGTGTAATTAAGATGTTGGTAGCAGTCTGTAAGTCCTGTCAGCTCCTGTTGACAGATTGAGATGTCATTCTTGGCGGAAAATAATGCAAGCTTAATCCATGTCAGCAGTTGTTACAGTCTTGAGATATTGGGTCAGCCTGGATTTCAGAGAGGGTTTAAATCCCAAGGTTGTATGGGAGTCGGCGCGATGTTGCTCTATTTTTAGTCTTCTTCTTCATTGAGGCTCTATTGTCATTGTTCATGATGGGCAGCTAGAGCATTTGCGCTTGCTGATGAGGATAAATAATGGTGGCAGGTGCATTTTATGATCTTCAGAAATCTAAGCATGGGTTTGGTAATTGGTATCCTTGGTTGGCACATTGGTACTTGGTTTCTTGGCGTGGTCCAAAAATCTCTCTACTAGTAGAGCCTTCGGCCTTTTTTCTGTTTATTACTCCTGTGTTGTAGAGTTGAGTGGTCTTGTTGTACATTGTGTGACTCCATAGAAGACTTAAGACCCTGAAGAGTGGTTCTTTTAAAATCTGATGTTCTTATAATGTTTAATTTAATTTAATGTCCCAGTTGAAGTGGCTGGAGTTTATTTGTGCCCATGACGATGTCTCTGTTTATTGTGTTAACTTGTATATGTTTCATGTTGCATGAATTAGGCACTCGGGTTTGTTCCTCATTTAAAGAATGCAACTGCTTATAAGCTAAGATATTTCTGATATGCCTTTTTTTACTCTTGTTGCTCTTGTTTACAACTGAAAGATGAATAGTAAAAAACAAGCAGTAGGTATGAAACAACTTAGCTAGTATTCTTTTCCCTTGTTCTCGACTGAATTTAAAGAATATAGAGAATAGATGATCGAAGATTTCGGTTCTGAGATTATGGATATTAAGGTTAGAGTCATTATTCAGTTTATAATTTTGCTAAGATTCTTCTCAGATGCTCTTCTGCTGAGTGTGCACTTTGCATCTCTATGGCATGGTTCTTTTCAGTTTCAAAAATTTTGAATAACACCAATATTTCTTTCCATAAACTCTCAGCAGCTGAAAGTTAATTTTCCATGGATTCTGATGTTTAGAATGTGGATTAAATCTCGACATGCATTGTTTAAACCATCAGCACAAATGGCCCCAGGCTTGAGAAACTTCCTTTGACCTGCTTTTGATTTTGATGCAATATGAATTTTCACTCATATTTTTATCGACCAGCTCCAGCCTTTTTCGCTGGAGCTGCTTCACAATTTCTTGTGACATGCCTGAAATTGTGTGCTCGCTCTTAACATCAACAAGGTTATATAAACTGTTCATTTTCCACTTTTCGACACTCCATGTAATGTAAGAACTTCCCGTTTAAATCAGCAGGTCAACTTGGCAGGAAACTTTGCATCATATTGGCTAACGTCTAGTTACAAATTGATTGGAAAATATGCGGAGACTTGGAATGTAAAGAGGGTTTCAGTTGAAACGAATGTTAACATTTCTGATTTCCTCTTCCCACCCACATCTTCACACGATCTTCTATGTTCCTTCATTTTTCTCATGATCTCTTACAGCTATAGAGCATCGGGATTTCAAGGTTTCTTGAATGATACTATTCTTGTATCAGAGACAGCAACATGCTTCTTTTTATCAAATTGGTTCTCCTTTCACATAGATTGTCATGCTTCCAACTTATCAGAACATTAAGAGATCTGAGATCCTGTTCCCTTAATAAGCTCCGCGGCTGCTGGTGGATTTGTTGGGGGATCTTATCTTCATTGCCTACCCTAACTTTGTTGCTCTTCTTTTCTTCCAGTTGTCTATTATTTCATCCGAGTTGCCAGTTCATTTCTCCACTTTGTTGGATTTTGTTAGTGCATGTACTAGCATGTCTGGCCAGGCCTATATGTAGCTCACATAACCGTGTCCTTTCAGGCTCCACCCTTTTCCCCCCATATTCCTTGAAACAGATGCCATGGAATCTTATTTGTGTTGGGAAACATAATTGATATTTTTCTAATGCTGAGAATGTGAAGTGATAGCAGGCATAAAAGATGCATTTTGCATGCCATTGTTGAATTCTTTAATCTAAGATAGTGCCCCCTTTTTATTTTACTGCTGGCATTCAATGTTTCTATGTGCACTTGAGCATGCTCTTAGCTACCATGATTTTTTATGGGGCACGTTGAGGTTCAGAGCAAGCTATATAAAAAAGAAAACCCTAAAGTATTTTTAGCTTGAAGGAGAAACAAGAGCACATGGACAAGCTGGTGAGAGAGGTCACGCGTATGCATTACCTAGGTTTGTAGTTAGTCATAGGTTTAAGTGGTTTTTGTTTTAATTACAGGATTAATTAAGGTTTCAATTAACGGAAAAGTCAGCACTGTTTAGGTTTTGTGGTGTTTTTTTTTTAGTCTTGGGATCAGATCTGCTATTCTTGAGGATAAGACGCTTATTTGAGCTTCGTGACTCGCATGATATCTTCATCACAGAGCTCAAATCATCCGAGTTTTTTTCCTTGAAATCTTATGTCTTCTAAACCCCAAAATCTTATATTGATAAAAGATAAAAATTTTGTATAAGCTAAAAAACATTCCTCATTTATTTTATCTCATTTCTCTCTTTTTACTCTACGATTTCTCGGATCCAAATCGAACATCGAATTCAATATATCATGCTAATATGATTCCTTTACTCTCATTAGCTGCTAACAATAATCTCATAGCTGTCCAACCACTGATTATAAATTGCATGATGTTAATCTTTGGCAAGATGAAATATAATCTGAGCAGGCTATACATTTGATTATAAGAAAAAGGAAAAAAAAATAAAAAACTGAGATTTTTTATAATGAATTGTGCTAGAGAGGGATGTGGCCCACCAAATCATCTTTCAATTTCATGTGTGACTCCCAAAGCCTGGAGGCATGTTTCCTTCTCCTCCATGTAGCAGGTAAACAACAACCTGGATCCCACCAGATTATTAGATATTATCAGAAACAGTGGTCCGGCCATTACTAGGTACCAAGTCCCGATCAGATGTAGAAAGAAAAGTTTAAGTATGCCAAAGACAGGCTGCCCCATTCTTGCTTTGTTCTTGCCTTGCCTACCTCCCAGTTTCCTGGTCATGTTCCTGTGAATAAGAAGATTGCCACGTAGCCCCCCTCCCATAATTGTTACATTGGTGGTTTTGGCTTGGTCAACACCACTAATCTTAAAATGTTCTAATTTGGTCCTTGCGTTCAGAATTATTTCATAATGATTTTGCACTCGATTCCCAAAACATGACGTATTTCTTTTCACCATTCCTTTACGTCGATTGGTTTTCAAGTTTACCTTGATATTATATACCTTAAAGAACGTATTATACAATTTTAGATTTCCAATAATTTTCTATTTTTTTTAAATATGTCAATGTGATTTTTAACGCAGATCACATTATTACAAGTCAACTCAGGATTTTTATCTAGTGTTAATTCTCCTTTGATCGATCCAAGTTCTGGTTTAGCTTGTCGGATTATTCTAGGTTTAACAACCATGGAAAGAACTTGAGGGTTATCATTGTTATATAACACAAAGCATGTTCGGTCATGAGTTATCATTGTTATATAACACAAAGTATGTTGGGTCATGAATTGAAGCAAAATAATGATGATAATGATAATAAAATAAAGAACTTGGTATTTAATTAATTTAACTGCAAGAGGTTCTGATACATCATCCACCCTTTCTTTTCTTTTCTCTTTTGAGAAATAATTACCTCACTTTGATTTGGACCATTGCCAAAATACCCCTGCCAAATTTATGAACTATAATATTGGGAAAATCTGATCTGATCTGATCTGACGGCAACTCAAGATCACACAACACTGATTCTTATATTGTATTCCTGTCAGGCAGCAAGAGAAAACCTCCAACACTGACAGTTCAGAGTTCAGACTATTGATTAAAGCTGGTAACAGTGCATTATCTACAAAGACAACATGTGGGATTTGTTTAAGACAATAATCATGGAATTAATTGGCAGTGATCAAAGCATGATGAGATTGGAGCTGGCAATGATGTCCCTAACCCATGTGATTTCATTACCTTTATTTCACTAGTCAACGTATTAGATATTTGGATTGGCTGATGGCCATCGCTTTAGACTTAAGCAAATCACCATATTGGTCATTGCCAGTGCTTAATGCCTAACCAATTATTATTAGATCTAAGCATTATCCCTTTTAAGTTTTAAGTATGATGCTGGAAAGGTGAATGAGCAAATAAAATAGTCTCATCATTACACACACTCCTTACTAATTTTAATAAGATTCAACAATATAAGCAGAGACCACCTAGAACTGGAATTAAAAGAGGTTTATAACGAAGTCTTTGAACAATCCTAACAACAGGGAGTTTCCTAGTATAGAGAAATCTGCATGTAAATCAGTAACACAGCAATTCCCATCTGGCTGTGACATTAATGGTTTTGAGAGTAATCAAAGCTAAGAGGTTGCTGACAGAATGAAGCCTGCAAAAAAGAAAGAGTAATTTAGCTTGCATACTTTTCTTCCCCCGTTTTTTTAATCAAATAAATATGGTCAAATGTGAGGTTCTACCCCTGCCCCACCACCCTATGGGCGAAAATAAGGGTAGAAACAAACAACAGAAATTCTAAATATAAATATTCAAATTCAAGATTGTAAATAATAAATTATAGCCCTACCTGGAAAGTAGCATGTCTAAATTGATCGTATGAATGTGCATACATCATTGCAGTGCTTGGCCATTGAACATATGCAGCATCCCTTGAAGTCTGATTTGATCCCATTGCACAGAAGGGGCTCATAGCTGGGTTTGCAGCGGGGTGGTAGCCAAGGGAGGCTTGTGTCCTTGGCATCTGACCCAGCTGAGGAAAACCGGGATCATACTGCATATAAGGAAGTGGAATCTTCTGCATATTGAATGGTGTCAAGCTAAAGCTCTGATTAGCTGGAAGGCTCCTAACATACCTGCACAACATTCAAAAGCAATTTAGTTTGAATAATAAAAAGCAAACTTCTAGAAAATGCAATTGAGGTAACAAGAGATTCAATTGTTTCAAAAATAATTTTAAGAATTGAAATTTTTTTGAGAATCAATCTATGTCCGATCTCATTATGGAAGAAGTCTTGTTCTCCATGTGTGATTGTTACAATTTGTTTATTGACAATTTTTCTACACAGCAAATAGGGAGACCAGCTAAGAATGCATCAAGGCCTGAAATCATCACAAGCTAGCGATCCATCATATTAAAATAAATAAGGGTCATCACTAAGGTGATGCTCAACACCATATTTTGTCAATCGTTTTCATAGCAATCAGCCCACAAATATAATGAAATTTCCTTACCTTTCATAACTCCGATCATAATCTGGGTCAGTGCGATCCTTCTCCCTATCTCTGAAAATAGCAACCCGAGATGACATACCATCCCTTACGAAGACATTTTTTTCTGGATCAACTACAGAGATCCTGCACTCTTCATTCTCATCCTTGCTTGAACTTAAATTTTTGCTATCTGTAGGGAGCTGGGGCACAGTATCGTCTGCAGTGGGGCTGCTAGGGCTACTGAAGATGCGAGCTCGTGCCCTATCATACTCCTCCTTCCTCTCTTCCACACTTCTCACAGGATTCCGTTTGATCCCGAACCCGTTAGGGTCATTTATGGACCCTTTGTTAGGCCGGGGTCTAATTGTAAGCTTAATCATCTCAGGTGTATCACTTCCCGACTGTTTAGCAGGAATTTCAGATAGGCGAACCGCGGGATATCTGCATTCAGCTGGTTTTTGCACCAGAATCTTATTTGCCAGACCATCAATGCCATTATCCTGTACCATGGTTATCAGCCCATAGTGTTGAGCAACGCGAGTGCTGCAAGCCTAAGATAGGAGGTAGGGAAATGCTGGAATTCAAATAGTTGTTGGTCAGGGTTTTGCAAAAACCTCTGGATATCAAGTTCCATCCGCAAAACTGATCCAGAAAATTGAGAAACAAAATAAATATTAGAAGTCCATAAAGAATAACAGAAAAGAAAAGAGAACACCATTATAGTTTTCATAGGAAGAAAAGGAAAATAACTACAAAATACTAAAAAGCAAAATCTGACTACCACCAAGGCCCCCAGAAATAAGACTACAAATTAACCAATAAACTACATTAACTTCATAGAAAAGCAGACATATCAGCTAGCACAAAATTAAGCCAAAAGGCAAACTAAATTGAATTCATTTGGCCTTAATCTATAGTTTTGTTTTGATACAACTTTAAAACAGAAAAAACTGTTGAATTAGAAAACCAAAATGCATGTGTCAATATGCTCATGGGTGCAAAAGACCATGCCCTATTCAAAACTTAAAAACAAGATAACTATTCAAAAGTATGCATAGAGAGGAGAGAAAAAAACTCTTCTATCCATCAAAAAAACAACTGTCATTGAATTGAATTCTGTACTTGACAAACACAATTAAACTGTATATCCAACAATCCAAATCCTAAGAAAATTGCAAGGGTTTGAAGAAAAAGCTCAGGGAAGAATACAGGCTTTTTTCTTCAACCCCCGCACTCTTATCAATTGGAATATCAGAAGGGAGTTTTGATGCCTGGAACTTTCAAGTACAATGATAGCCCTAACATCATCTAGCATTTTAGGTTTTCATGCTAATGCATTGCTCCGATAGTTATTGTCAGTGTCTTGATTTGAAAGGTTGCCATGGTTGGACATCCAACAGACATATATGCACTCAACAAAAATGTCCGTGTCTGTGTGCAAAGGGTCTTAATCCTGAATCTATCTTGTTTGAAACCCTGTTGCCACTATCTTAGTTGATTTTGCAGTGTTCTCATTTTTTCCCTTGAGAGTTGGATCCTGGAGCACCTCTGCAGGCCATTGAAATATAGGAGTGCCCTTCATTCTATGACAGTTTCTCTGCTTTAGCAGTGTCTAACCAAGACCAGTGGTGGAACTACATTGAGGCTAAGGGAGGCCCCCTACCCCAACCAAAAAGCAGTTGGGAATTACCATTTTATTCCTAACAATTCTGAAAATTTTAAGGCTTGGGCTATTTCATATTCAAATTGGCCTTAGTACTATTCTAAACTAGCACCCCACTCATGAAATTCTAGTTCCACCCCTATTTCCAGGACCAAAACAGTGTCACACAGCAGCAGCATCCACTTTTAGTTAATAATCCTAAACAATCAAAGCTGTCTTTCATCAAATAGAATAAAATACTCTCTTCTAGCCCAACTACAAAGGGCATTCTCAACAGCACCTAATTTGTTAAACATAACAGGCACATGAGATTTCAGAAAGTAAACGGAAAGTAAGGTTGAATTCTATTGAATAATGTGATATCAGAGCCCCGATTCTGTCGAGGTCCAATGTAGATATCTTTAATCCAATCACTTTGCCTCGCATTGGAAACGTAAAAAAAATTCATAACGACTTAATCCTAATCAAGGCAACACATCCACTTCTAAGGATACGTCAGGTTTACATAAGAACAGGCACGTCCAGTGCTCCAAGGCCTCGGACTTTATTGGAGTCACAAGGTCAGACGACAAGGGAGATGTTAGTTGAAATACCATAACTCATGTCATTTATCAGAAATACAGGCATTTAGTTAGTGGCAATAACAATGCCTTGATAACAGAGTAGTCATTTCCATATCTAAAATAAGACTGCATCTGTAATATAAATATCGCACCAGAGCCCTGTGAGATGCAGTAGTGAACTACAATAGTAATCAAATCGCACTCAAATCCAGAAGACTAAGAAATCAACACCTGATCTATTCTACATTCAGCAGCAAACTATTCCCTTCTACAACATCACTTACCCCAAGTATGTGAAAAACAAATCTTATTAGGGGCATTAAGACAGTCCGGCCAGTACCTAATTCATTATAAATAACACACCTATCGTCACTAATTAGAAAACTATAAAATAAGTCAGAACCGATTTTAAGCCACATTCAGCACCAATCCATTCCCTTCAGCAGCACTTGCCAAAAAGAAATTATCATAAGACACTTAGGTTAGTAGCTGACAGGATTAGAGATAGCTAAGCTAAAGTTACAATTTGTGTTCATGTCAACATTATGCTTTCCTTAGCAACAAAACAAATCTATAATTCTCAATTATTTAGCAACAAAACAAACCTATAATTCCCAAAACTTAAAACGCAGATCTAATCTGTCTAAAAGCTCCTAGATAAACCAATTTCCAAATCAACCAAACCTCAATTGCCAAAGACAAAGACAAAATCACAAACCCTAAAAAATCCATAAAAACACAAAATTCACCAAACACGTCAACAAAATCCCAGAAATAGAAATAGCGAAACAGATCCAAATAAGCTAAAAACTGAAATTTTGAGCAAAACCAACAAAAACCCTAAAAAAAGAAGCAGAGAAAACCAACAAAAACCCTAAAAAAAGAAGCAGTCTCCTAACTGGTGAGACGGTGACGTGGGTTCTGTAGAGCCTCAACTAAGAAAGGATCCATCATTGACTCCTTCTCATTAATGGCTGCCACTGCTTGTGGTGTTGTTGACTCCATGATGACAATAATAATAATAATATATCACCACTCTCTTTGATTTTCTCTCTAAAAACTCCTTTTTCCCAGCCTCTTCTTCTGTTACTTCTTCTTCCCTGTGTGTATGGAGAGGAAGGGAGGGGAAGGGAGAAGTCAAAGAAGGGGTAGAGGCGTGTGTTAGAAAACAAAGGGTTTCATTGATAGATTTTAGAGAGAGAGATAAGCCAACCCTTTGTTTTGTTTTATTTTGTTTTGTTTTATCTCTCTCTGTTTTCTAACCAAAGAGGAAGAAGCAGAATGGCTTTGGGTTAGATTTTATATTGGTGCTATTTATGTATTACTATTTTTATTATTGTTATTTAAAAAAATCCAATATTATTTATTTTATTTCATTTATATTTATGTATTTGTTATGTTTTCTTATATTATTTTGTGGAAAAGAAGGGGAAAAAAATCAAAGCCTTAAGCCTTAAGTTATAGTGCAGAATTTGTTGTTGTCACAGTTATTAATTTTTAAAGTAATTTTTAAAATTTATTTTTAATATCAATATATTCAAATAATATATATATATATATTCAAATTTTTATTAAAAAATATTTAAACGAGTTGAATTATTACCAAAATCTTGAGTATTATGTTATGAAATTTTTAGTTTTTTATCATTATGAATGAATAAAAGGAGTATTTGAGAGTATAATAATAATTATTTTTTAAAATAATTTTTTATTTTTAAAAAATTAATTTTTATACTATAATATCAAAACAATCTAAACTCATTAAAAAAAACATTAACGAAAAGTAAATTGTACAGCTCAGCCGACACACCTCAGAGTCACAATCCACAAGGCATGAAGATATCTTGCTCCTTCGGTTGTATTGGATGCTCACTGGATTTTTTATTTATTTTATTTTTATTTTTATTTTCCTTTGTAGGTGTGGTTTTGTATAACAGGATTAGTTGATAAAAGAGACCGAGATGGCCCAAGTTGCTTGATGGGCTTCAGGCCATGAAAAATACATAGATCAGGCCCAGTCCCTTACAAATATTGCTCGCAAACATCTGTCAGGTGTGCTCTTGCATGCGTAATTTTGTATTGTCTTTTCTTGCACCGCAAGTTATACTAATCTTTCTCCCTTTCGTCACAAGGCTAGTCGGAGAGGGAAGGAGTTGCCACGCCTTTGGAAATGCAAAACCCCCCGATGGCATATGGCTATTGTTTAATTCTAGATTTGGTTTCTTACCTTGCAATGCAAGTTTCCTAGATACATTTTGGTTTATTCCAAGATAGATGACGGTATAGATTCCTAAATTGGCTTGATTATTGTCTTTATTTTTAAGAGGAGCAGCAAGGTGAGAGAGACGGGAACATGCTTTGCCCCCTTTAAGAACAAAGTGATGAGGCAAAATAACATTTATAGAAGATTATGCTTCTCGTTGCAGCTGATCTAGATGCGTGTTGATGGAGATAATCGAAACGTTGGCAAATGTGTAGAATAATTTTTCATCCATCTTACACTATGGATGATATTTTTAATAGGTTTTTTAAAAAGAATATATCAAAATAATTTTTTTCATATTTTTTTTAATTTTTAAGATTAGCATATCAAAATTATGGAAAACATTAAAAAACATATTAATTTAATGTTTTTTAAAATATACCAGTCAAAATATAATTAAAAATGCAATACTAAATATAATTAAAAAAAAGAGGTTGCTATGGGTGGTGGAGGGGTCACCATCAAGAGTGGGAGATGAAATCATTCTCGTTGAGATTGCTGGCATGAAGAATAGAAAATGTAGTAGGTTTCAGGGGTTGGTTTTGGTGGTTGGATTTTCTGGTTGTTTTGATTGGCTATTTCAAGAGAAGAGGAATGAGGCTTCAGTGGTGGCTGTTGGTTGAGCAGAGGTGGCGGCGACTTGGGCAGTTATGGTTGATCTGGACTATGGTGGTGGTTGCCTGGCTGGGAGGCTGAATGGCTGATGTGATGAGAGAGAGAGGTTGTGCTGCGGTGGGAGAGGCCACAACAGCTGCTAAATATTTCCAAAAGGTTTCACTGACAATAAAGTCAAACTCCTCCACTTAATTATTGACCAAAACACACGCACACCAAAAAAATAAGTCTTTGCTTACCAAACCTTTCAAACGGTGGTAGAAAACAACTAAAAGATTTCAATGTTAGTCCTGTACTCAAGCCCCGTGTTTTTGAACTATACTCCTCAATGATACTTATCCCACATCTCTTTATCTCTCTACTGAATACAGAGTTTTATTCGAAAATAAAAAATTTAAATAAGAGATTGAATTTCAATTCCAAGCATATTATTTGATTTAGGTTTGTCTATTGTTAGTCAATTAAAATATATGAACATAATTAATTGTAATATATTTTAAAATTACTTAAAATATTGAGAGAGAGAGAGAGATGGCTTGCAAATTTTATCTCCAACTCTTACTTAAAATATTGAGAGAGAGAGAGAGAGAGATGGCTTGTAAATTTTATCTCCAACTATGAAAGTTGTAGCAGAGGACCAAGAACCAATATGAATATTTAAGAAACTCCAGTGTAAGCACAGCATATTTCGATGAATAAAAAGACCAAGAACCAATATCAGTATAAGGGTGCATCCATGAATATTTAAGAAACTCCAGTGTAAGAGAAACAGGAAACACTGAGCAAGGACATAAATGCGTAATTGGCAGCAGAGTTGGATTGATCAGAGAAAAGAAGAAACAGCCTGAAGAAGAAGAAGAAAAGGATGCAGCAGGGCAGCATAAAAAGACGCAGGAAAGAAAAGGCAAGTGACAAGGGAAAAACTTGAAACAACTAAACCAACTGATGAAAGAATAAATTTGCGCAGGACAAACGGAGCACACAAAAAACAGAATCACAAAGCCTCAACACAAACACCCCCTGAAGAACAACAAATACAGAGCAGCACTGCCCAAACAAAGCTTTGTGGATAGACAACAAACCTTCAGAGCAATCCGAGCAAGTTGAATAACAACAGAACAAATGTTGAGATTATAAGAGAAACAAACGTTATCGGACTCCATGAGTATAACTATCTTTACCTCCCAAATCTTTAAGATGCCATTAGAATATTATAGGTACACACAATTTCATTTCTTGTTAGTTCCACCATCTATTGGGGTTGCAGACCCTTTAATTTTCTGGGTTTGATGTGGAAGACATTGAGGATGAATTTTCTTCCAGAATGTACGAGGATAGAAACAATATTGGCCAGTAGGTTTCAACTCTGATTCCGGATCGTACCAAAGTGAAGGCTTGAAGCTATACAGATAATTGATGTACATAGTAGCTCTATACTACTCCAAAGTTGTTCGTGCAAGCACCCACCCCCGAGCCAAAATCCCGGTTTCCTTCTATCTATATACTTTCTTGTTGATGCCACTTTTCATTCAGCAGTGATTATGGTGAGAATCTCTACTTTCAATTTGATTTTGCACTCAAAATTGAATCCTTAACCTCCCACTCAGTGCTCACCCACCCTCATGAACTAAAATTTCTATGTTTTATAGCTTGCAGCTGTCCTTCCATCACTAGCTTCCTGGCAAGGTACCACATTCATATTGGATTTTTGAAGGCTGCCCTGCTACTACTTCAATCTATATGAATGTTAACCCAGATGCATTTGCACACAAAAACGCAAGCATATAATTGATATAAAGTAAATGACCAGAACAATTTATCCCCAGCATGTCCCATACGATGACCTGGTGGCGTTATTGGTCCAGCAACGAAGGTCATAACAGGCTTCCCAATCCCACTTTCCTCTCCATAATGACACATCTCCCGCATCTACCAATAGAGAATACAGGGAATAATTATGATTATTGTTTAAAATATTTTTAATATTAAAATAATATTTTTTATTTTTTAAAAATTATTTTTTTATTAGCATTTTAAAATAATATAAAAATATTAAAAAAATATTAATTTGAAACAAAGATAAAATATTAAAAAAATATTAATTTGAAACAAAGATAAAAAAAAAATTCAAAAATAATTTTAAAACATAAAAACAAATAAGACCTAAAACTCATAAACAACATCTCATATTAAACTACCTTTTATTTTAAAATATATTAAAATAATATATTTTTTATTTTTAAAAAATTATTTTTAATACTAGCATATTAAAACAATCTAAAATTATAAAAAATTACTTTTACACAAAAAAATAAAATTTTAAAAATATAAATTCAGCTGTGTTTTTGAATACTACTGTTAATGCAGAGAATTAATTAGTCATGTGTGAACTGAGAATGTATATTTAGTATTATCATCCTTGTATTTTTGAAAGTATAAAAGAGATTGGAATCCTATGTAGCATATTTTTAAAATAAATAAATAAATAAATAAATTAGACCATGCTTAGAATTTTGCAACTCATGACATCTTTGCAAACAATTGCATCACTCAATACTATGATCTCGATTTCAAGAAATGGAGAAGGTGACTTTGTTTTGTTTAATTTTGTTTATAGCTAGCAATATCCTTAAACCAACTTTTTTACCCACTGAGATTAAGATTTATTTTTTTTAGTTTCAGCCAAAAATAATTTTTCAATCAACATCTTGACTATATCATTTATTTATGAGATTTTTGTTTTAACTTGTTCTATGATTTGAATTATCATGATTAATAAAGAAGTATACCCATTAGCCATCATACCAACCTTTAAATTATTCACATTGCTCAGTATCTTAGCAAGTTCCCGTTGTAGAATAAAACCACTAAACTTTATCCTCAAGACTTAAAACAAAAAACAAAAAACAAAAAATAATTAAGATAATGAATATATTTATCTTTCTAATTCCCATCTTGCATTCAAATTAGAGAATTAAATAAAATATATAATTTAACTGTATTGATAATTATGAAATTTAATTTAATATACCGGGTTAATTCAAATTATAATTTAAAATTTGATTTTTAATTAAATCAAATAAAACATTATTTTCACTAAATTATTTAATTTACATCAAACTTCATTCTAGTATATGAATTAAAAAAATATTTTTATTTTAATAAAAATAACTTTCACAATGACTTAAAAGTTGGTTAAATAACTAAATGACTTATTTATTTATTTTTTTTAATCAATATTCGTGTGGGTCTCACAACAATGATTGGCTTTTAGGAGATCTTAAATATTACAAAAGAAAATGAAAAACGTGTAAAGTTTGACGTGACGGAAACGGGACTCAACGACAGGTCGGAGGCAGAAAAGAAAGCAGAAGGAAGTGGTCCGCCATGATGACAAAGAAAGAGGTTTCC